ATAGGTAGGAGAGTTCTATACTAAAATACTTATTAGAGAACCGCCGTTACTATTAAAAGGGATATTATATAAATAAAGGAGAAGGTCCTTATATAAATATAAATTAAAGTAGGCGAATATAAAAGTAGGTAGGGTAAACGAAGCCGTAGGTAATAGTATATTGCGGAGGGAAGGAATAAACGGAAGAGAATAAAACGAATATAAATAGTAGAGAGAGAGGAATAAAACGAATAAATAATAATTATAAATATAGAAAGTTAGGAAGGAAGGAAGTAAATAGAAAGTACGTAACCTAGAGCGGGTTAATAGAATATAGTAGGCAATTAAGGGTAACGGAATTAGGACAAAAAGTATAATAATAGGGCTAAATCGAAGATAAAGGGTAGGATAATTAAATAGGCGCTATATAAACAAGAAATATTTGCAAAGAGAAGGGAGTATAAGATTATAAAAGGTATAAATATTTTAAGGAGTAAGGGAACGGACGGTTAAGGGGAAAAATATAAATATTAAAATCGAAAAAAAGGAATAGAAGTCCCGTAAATAAAACCTATAAGGGGGAGGGTCGTATTAAAATGCCCTAGACCCTTTAGTACTATAATACTAACGTTTATAATCTAACTAACTTTATTAGGCGAGGGTTTTAAATAACCGACGATAGTAATTAATTATAATTATTACAGTTAAACTACTAATACTTCAAGCGAGGGCCTGAAGCAACTAATAATAGTAATTAACTATAATTATTATAATTAAACTATAGATACCTTAGGCGAGGGTTTTAAATAATTAACGATAGCGGTTAGCTATAATTATCGTAATTAAACTACTAATACCTTAAGTAAAGGTTTTAAATAACTAATAATAGTAACTAATAATAATTACCGCAATTAAACTACTAATACTTTAATTTATCCTTTAGTATCTTCGTTTAATTATTAACCTAAACCGGCTAACTATAATACTTTAAACTTTTTAATATTATAATACTAACGCTCTCTATCGTCTTACTAAACTTCTACCTAAAAGTATTATACTAATTAATACTCTTTCGCACCTTATTAAACTTTTACTTAGAAGTATTACGCTAATTAACGTTCTCTAACGTTTTATTAAACTTTTATTTAAAAGTATTATACCGACTAATACTCTTTTATATTTTACTAAACTTCCGTTTAGAAGCGCTACGCTAACTAACGTTCGCTATTACTATAAAGGTTCCAAAGATAGAACCTATAAGGGGGGGGGTTATATTAGGAAGTTAAGGGGTAACCGCCGGGGAAGGGATATTATAGTACTATAATACTAATATACTATTTCGTTTAATTAAACTCTTACCTAGAAGTATTACAACGGCCGATACCCTCTTTTACTTAATTAATCTTCGGTTTAATAATATTAGAATATTTAACGAAATAGGTTCGTAGGAAAAATAATCCAGCGCCGTATTAGAATAGTATATTAATATAGGACTCTATAACTCTTAGCTACAATAGAGCAAAGTTTGTATTAATATAAAAGAAGTTCGAAAAAGCTTCATTCTTTATAGTCGGTAGCTATTAATACATCTTTGAATTAACCCCTAACTTACTATCCCCTACGTATAGTTACAACCGTAGTTACCTCAGCTTACTTTCCTCCTACGTCCTAATATATAATCCCTAATTTATAATTAAATTACTAATTTTCTTTTTTTAATTAGGTTATTAATTAACTACCTCTTTATCGTCAAATAATTAAAACTACTTTTATACTTCGCTCTTTATATTTACTACATTATTATTATTATTATTATTATCAATTTTAATAGGTCTTACTTAGGAGTTGGGCGGGTAGGCAATATTAATTATCGAAGCTATAATTTCATTAGAAAAGATAAATACGCCGGAAAAATTATACTCTATATAATCGTTAATAATATTCTATACCGTATACTAACAGAGTAGCAGATAGTTAATAAATACTAGGGATAATAGTATAATTATATTATATATAGCAACCAGGTAATTATTAATAAGAGGCGGTAATTATATCCTATATTGAGGTAGCGAAGAACTTATATATAGTAGATTCCTATATTAAGAGTTCCTATATTACAATAATTAGGATTCCCTATACCATTACTATTAAAAATATAAGGACAGTTTATACTAGGAATTATATTAAATATAGTCCTCCTTAGTAGGCTATTAGGCGGACTATTAACTATTGTACCAATTGCTTATAATCGATATCGATATACTATAGATTACTATTTCAAAATCTACGGTAGAGCTTCAATACTAAAAAAGAATTACAACCCCTCTCTTTTTATATAACGGTATAATCTATAATAATAGTCTATAATAGTAGTTTAAATTATCCTAGTAACCTTTAAGGTACTCTAGTAGATTATACTTTATTAGGATTAGTCGGTCTTAGTTAGTTCTATATATTAAAATTTAAATACGAGCCCCAAACCCCTACAATTAGTACTCTATATAGAAGTTACTTCTCTAGTAAAAAAGTTATATTTTTAAGATTACAGTTACGTGAGCCAATCAAGCCCTTGTTTTGGGAAACCTAAATAATTTAGCAAATGCTATAAACGGTGATCATGTTGTATGCTACGACAAGAAGGACTAGTGGCTTCCCCTCCCTTCAACTCCGGAATTCTTCAAGAAGGTACCTTGGTTGAAAAAGGAAACTATAGATTTCATTACACGGAGCGGATAAAGTAACTATATAATCCAATAAAGTAACGGTGTCTTACCCAAAGGAGACCCCGGCACAGCAAGTCGGGCAGCGCATAACAGCCGCACTAAAATTTCGCAGTGAGCAACATAGTCGCGCTTCCCTATCAAGGTCAGATTGAAGACGTACATCGCTATCGCTGGTTCTAATATTTGTCAAGATACCTCCCTCGCATTTACCCTATTAATACCTAGAAGTTCACGGCCACTATAATTAATCTAACTACCTATACCGACCCCGCACCGCTCACTACCATCGACGACAATATTACTACCAGTAAAGAAGACGACACCAACGAGGAGGAGGTTCCCTAGACGCCGTCGCGACAGTTAGTTTGGGGGGGGG